TTTAAAGTTGGGACCACTGCTGCACGGTCCAGGTGATCACGGACAGTCTTTGATGTCATTCAATACGGCTCTCGCACAGTACGAAACCCACAGGGGGGGAAATCTCGAGGACCCTCCAGTAACTTAATTAGCGGGTTGAGCGAAAAAAAAAAGGGCATTTGTTGAAGGGTTTTCACGGGGAGGCAAGAATATCTGCAATCAATCTGGCACGCCTGCTTGGCTGCAGTATTTCTCTTTGGCTTCTTTTGCATAGTATCTCAACTGCCGAGCGCATCGTCCCTTTGAAGTCCAGACGAGGTTTGATAGTTGGAGGCACAAGGTTTTTCACTTACACCATTCTTACCTCAGCTCCAGCTTTTTCTTCAAACCATCCTCATTGATACCCCTCTCATAGAAAGGTCTATCAAGCTCGGCAATTATTTTCGACTCTCATCTCTGAAATGAGACCGCAGAGATAAAAGCCCGTCTGGGGATACGAGAGAGCGAGAGAGAGCGCAAACGGGGAGAAAGGTGGCTGTCTGTCCATGGGCAGATCATGCAGTTGACCCCGATCAAAGTCCGAGGCAAGCGTGGCAAAACCGCTTCCTCCAAACCACAGACCAAGGAATCATCATCATCACTGGCGAAGAAGCGGGCGTCACGCCTTGCAAGTCGTCCAGTCGCCAAACGCTTCTCGCTCTTTGAGCAGAACTTTCCCCTTGAGATCGCCGAGCATATATTCATCCTCAGTGAGAATCTCAATCTTCCCCGTTGCAGCCCGCGCATCGGCGCTCTGCTGTCTGGGCGATCTACTCTTGTCAACATCATCATCGCCGCCTTCCATCCGACCTGGGACTGCTGGTTTGGTGTCGATAAGCGAGTGATCAAGACGGCTTTGAAACAAGGCGCCGCAGACGACGGGCGAGGACTATGGCGTTATGAGAGCTTCCCTGAGTTATTCCCAGGTGATTCTGAATTTCAGGTATGACTCAATTTCACCGCAGGAAAACTTTCCATCTTGCTGACTTTTATGACCAGTCTTCGCTACTGAGCAGTCCATGGATCAACGTAGACGTCATCTTTGAGGCCCGACAGGTCTGGGCTTGGCGCTTCGCTCGTAACAGGTGGTACTCACACTCCCACGTGAGCCTCAAGAATGAAGAAGATACAGAACAGGATAACCCCCTCGAATCACCGCACGATCGAATAGGCGGCTTCGGCCACTTTGACTCCCGCGGCTGTTTCGAATACGACTGGCTCTCCTACGGCCTCAACGGCTCGAAACCGGCACTCGACTTTTACGTCGATGTACACCCAAAGACGACGATCCCAGACGATATCCTCACCGGCCCGTGGACGCTCGAGCAGCAGAGGCTCCTTTTCTGGCTCCGGAGAGGCGGCGCCAAGATTCAGCCAGACAGTCAGACCTGGGAAGTAAGTTGACATCTAGCTAGAAAGCATTGTACTTGCAGCAAGTTTAAGGGGGCTTGCTAACACGCACACAGACTCTTCGCGTCGGCCTCCAAAATGCCGTCACGCATCGCAGTCCAGGCAACCTAGACGGCCGCTTGATCGAGGTGCTCCTCCTGGTGGAAGATTATTTCCCCTCTCACGCAGTGGAAGACAACGCGTCGCTGTGGCCGCTCGAAATTCTGGAGGAAGAGCACGATAAAGTTGGTCGGCTGCTAGCTGCGAGGGCCCGCAGTACCGCGGGGCCTCTGTTTGAGCTCGTTGAACTTGAGAAACGGATGATTGAGTACCATCGCCGCGTGGTCGATCTGCTTACATCAAGACTTAGCCGCCACGATCGATTGGCGCCGTCTTCTATCATGGCTGCTGGTCTTCTACCCCAGCCGCGGAACCGTTGAAAAGTACAGACGGAAGGGAACAGCCTATGTGGATTGAAAAGCATGCATTGGTGTTGCATATGACTTATGAGCTTACGGGACTTACATGCCTATTGTAATGTAATCCGGGTGTATGGGCGACGAGTGAGACAGGATGAGCATGAGCAATCCGGGCCAAGTGGGATCTTGAGTTTGAGATATCAAGATACGAAAAAGAATCAGCTTTTTCATGTGTCTGCTTCAAAACTATCATAGTGAGCGGCATGGACATCCGCTGACTTCACGTCCCTACATCCTATTACTATTGCCATCATTGTCACTGGTGCTATCCTTACTTAGCCAATTCTCTCGAAAACAAGAAAAGTAATTGGATTAAATGCACCCCGAAAAGCCTAGGAAGGTAGCAGTAAGGCTAGCATCGTTGAGGAACTGCTTAATCATGTATCACGACTACATCAAATGTGTGGTACCAAGAAACCGCTTGCTGGTGACAGCACGGGCAGAGGGGCACAGACAATCACTTTGTTTACTTGGATGCAAAATGAGACGGGCAGGATATTGTAGACCAAGATTTTCCTATCTTGCGTTAAATGATGTCTGTGGACCTCCTGTGGGAATTTGTCGCAAAGATTTGGCGTTGTGGGGCGAAGAGGTACTTAGGATTGCTGTCACCCCCCGAACTCCAACACCGAGCGGAGCAATAGCTCCGATCCTCCCCTTGGTGTAGTTGGTTCATCACGTTCGACTGTAATGGTTACATTGTCATCGAAAGGTCTCTAGTTCGATTCTGGAAGGGGAGAACTGCTTAATCTTTTGCGTTTTTTGGGTATGTTTCCTTTTTGGAATTGGGCCGCAAGTTTTTTGGCGCAGTCGATTTTGTCGTTTGTCTGTTGGGAGTCAAAGGAGGCGAGGGAACCACAATGTTGCGGAGCTCTCTCCCGGTTGTGGAAGCTGGGCGTTTGCTTTTTGCAGTCCTAAGGGTTTTTGATAGTAAACTGGTCGGTTGACGTTTATCAAAACGGATACCTAGAGGAAGAAGAGTCTTTCTATTGCCCTACTTTCTTTCCTCGTTGGATGAGATGATTTTGTTGGATAGAAGGTATGTGAGTTCCTGTTCCTCACTCCACATGTGTTTGCACTAGATTTATTTCGTTCAAGAGACACATTTTAGTGAGGCAACAATATCTAGTGCGTTTCTTCTGTCGGATTGAATGGAGGCATGAGAAACAAGTCGAGCAAACACCTCACGAAGATCGAAGTACATATAACCTTCCCCAATAGTTGAAGCAATGGTTAGGAGAAACACTTTCGGAAAGGTCCAAGAAGCTAACGCCGTTATTCTCTTGAGTGCTACATTCTGATTCTCAAGCACAAGGTTTCAGGGCCGCCTGGCTGAGAACCACCGACCCCGAGGAAAACTGCCCACTTGAGGAGAAGCGAGTAAGCCAAATGAGAGGTACCCTGGAATTGAAATGGTCCTTTGAAGACTCCTCGCATCAAGAAGACGCAAGATAGACTCACACCTGCCTTGCGAAGCTCGCTCCTTTGTTGCATACTAAAACATACCATCGTCACCTTCTAGGTTTGATATTGACCAAGAGCATGAGCATCAGGAGCAAGGAAACTCGAGCTCGAACATCACCCCTCCTGCTGCTGGTATCAAGCATCAAAGCCCATCTACTCCCATGCCCCAAAGCGTGCGCGCAAACGACATGACATAAACAATCCATCAGAAGATCCCCGTTACCCCCTCGAGCAACTCAGTCAAACACCTCCGTGATCCCCAAGATTCTGGAATACCCATTCACTTCCCAACCGCCGGATCTCTCGGTGCCTCCCCCACCCTACTCCGCCCGGCCTGCGGGGCAGGAACACATCTGCAAACACATACAGATACATTGCATAAGGTAGGTAGGCTCCTCCGGTATCCGCGCCGCACGCATTCGCAGCTCTCTTCCCGTGCCAACTTTGATTAACCCCAAAATCATCTCACCGAAGGGTAAGATGTTGGAATACCCCTCTCCACTCGGCGAGCTGAATCGGGCAGGCCGGCCGTCATGTCTTCCCCCTTCCCCTCTCCTTATGTCGATACTTCCGTCACAGAAATAGAGACGTAGAAAGTAAGAAAACATTTCTATGGGCGCTGACCGAGTGAGCAAGGCGGCCAGAACGGGAAGACTTACCGCACCGGGATATCCGGATCAGAAAACCCCCAAAAAGTCGCCGACTGCAAAGGCATCACTTACACCGATGACTGGTTTCCACTAGGAAACAGATCATCCAGCTCCCCGGGCCCCTCGTCTCGGCGTCCCTGATCGAGTGTAGTTGACATCTGACGCCCTTTCGCATCCGAAAAGAGTCATCCAACAAACCTTCGAAAACTCTTCAGAGAATCAGCACGGCCTGTATCCTCGCCGCCTTTGAGAGTGATGCGGGTAGAACGGGCCCACGGGTCCAGGCAGTCGAGCAAAACGTGACGAAACAGCCCTCTCCCGGCCCCCCATCATCGCCATCCACGACACGACTGGCTGCCTGCCTGTCTGCCTACGAAGACGAACCCAAACGAGCCATCCATCGTGACGAAAACCTCAGAATCCAGGCTCTCCAGGCTCTCAAGCTCCATCGTAAGTCCGTGACACCAAGAACCACGCCCCCCTCGCCATCCAAAACGAGAAAGACACTCGTCATTCCGATCCAAGGAAACCAAAGGCCCTCAAGAACCCTCGTGTAAGGCCTTCTCATCGGGCACGTAAACCCGCCCCTCAAATCGTGAAATCCATAAGCGCCTCCCAGAATATGCGTTCCACCACTCGGTGACATACCTCGTCCCCTTGCTCCATGAATCCATCCCCCTCTTACGCGGATGACAATAGTCACCAGCATTCCCTCACGCCGGAGCCCAAAGTGTGAAAGGTAAAACGGTGAGTGACTCTCACTATTCATCCATCTTTGTAAGCAGCCGTGATATAACAAAATTCAACATCATGCTGAATCGTCCCTCCATCACCTTCCCGAAACCTCCGAAACGGGCGCCTGGGACCGTTTCACGCATGGCCTCTCCCAGACTAGAGACTGGCTAGTCCTCATAGAAGAATGAAGAAGCACCGATATGCGGGTGTCAGCCACTCATTAGCGTCTTGTTACAAGGAAAAAAGAACAAAAACCAGACTTCACATGACAAACCTGTATCAAAAGACCTACCTTGCCCGGCGGCCCCCTGCCCGATGCGTGACCAGGGTAGTGCAAAAGGAAAAGAAAAATCTCTTGCTCAAAAGTCCATACTGGACTTTCCTCAAGCGGCAAGCGGGAAACCCACCACCGAACATCGGTTGGACGGTGGTCACCGCCAATGGTGGTGACGCTGGTGAGGTGGTGGTGTCGTTGGAGGCCGGGACCACGGGCGGCGGCGGTGCGGTATGACTCACACTCTCTCACGCTCGCTCACTTTCGACAACCCCCCCCCCCCCCAGCCGGCCGCGCGCCGCGTTATCGCCGACGAACCATCGGGCGTTAAGGTATTCGTAGTGGTAGCAGCAGCAGCAGCAGCAACCGCCGCGCTGCCACCAAATGACATCTCGTCATTTTTTCATGGGTCAAAACGCTTGTCAAAGAAAAATCAACCGGTTTTTTGTAGTCTGTTGCATCAAGCTTCCCCGTCTCGGGCTCCGTCTCGGACGGTTGATTGAGGTCAGACTGAGGTCCGCAGCTTGGTCACGGTCAACACGTTGGTAGCAGCTCCGTATCAAAAGGCCTGGCTCAACTACTGACAGTCAAACGTAAGAGGCACCTAATGTCACCGTATTAGCAGTCATCGGAAGCTCTCCGTTCAATGAATAAGCAGTCGCAAGTACACCAAAGGTACTTGCTTTCACAAAGCACGTTGTCAACAAGGCTGTTTCCAGCACAAAGGTACACAGAAGAAAACTCGGTTCCAAATCTGGTAAGATTTTGATTTGATAGGCCAGACAAAGCAACAACTTATGTCTCGTGGTCGAAAAGCTAGCTATGAATCTCTCGAGTATAGCTTCATCGCTTTCATGTGAAGTTGTAGTAACACGTGCCGTGTCGTTTCCATGCGCTTTTGCGTGATGAAAACATATCCGATGAATCGCGGCGGATGACAGGTGCCGCTCTCAGCGAGTGAGGTGATGTGTTTCTTGATGGCTCGTTTTGGTCGCCCCTTTCGGATCTCCCATCGAGCGCCCAATCACACTCTCCCAAACTCTGATCGCGGGCGATTCGATGCGGAAGACCCTGTCGTCTCCAAATCCCAGAGTGCAAATAGCCTGAGAACCAGCGATAGCTCGATTCCCAAACCGATAAAAAACGCAAAAAAATTCAAAACGCATATCAACTCTCTTCTTCGGCGTGATCGTACAAACACAAAACGCGACGAAAATGCCGCAGTAGCTTCTTCGCCATCCACCGCCCCCATATGCCTTGACCTGTTGATGCATGCAAAGATTATCACGCTTTTCGTGCCGTTCCTTGACGCCATCTAAGCTGTTCTAAGGACTCGATGAACCGCCAAGGTGGTATCATTAGCACTTTCCGTATCCCGCCGCCCCGTATTGATTTCGTTTTTGACAAAGGAAATGGAGGATATTGCACAAAAAAGGTCAAGATGTGTTCAACTGTTGACCAGTGGGTATCTCGGGAGGTGTGCACAATGTGCTCAGTTGAGAATTCCCTCCCACATGCCCGGTCCGCGGTATCCGTCGATTGAATGAAGCATTGATGCCTCGTAAGCCGGAGCAGCCTCGCTAGCGCAGCAGACGCGCTTGCGAGGGGTGCCACGGTCGTTTGTGCCCATCTGGCTGTTGCGAGGGCGAACCAGATCCTGGGTCCATTGCTTGCCCGAGTAGTTACCGGTGAGCATATCCCGAACATTCTCCTGGAGGCAGTTGTCGACGATTGAGACACCTCGAGCGCGCTTACGGGAAGACATGGCAGTAGGAGTAGAGTCGTCGGAACGGTAGTTCTGAAGCTCCTGTAGTGCCCGTGCGGCGTCATTCGCGGGATCATGCGTCATTTCATCCAATTCGCGTTCTCTCTGAGCCAAAGGAGTATCCAACGACATTTCGCAGAGTCTGCCAACCGGGCCGGTGTAAGACTCAGGCGAAGAGGTGATGCAATTCTCTTCGTAGTCCTCAGGAACCGAGGCGATAGTCGGTCTCAAGCTTGACCTCTCACTGCACAGCTTCGCAGACCGGAATCGCGCCTGGACCCCCAGAGGGGCCGGCGCGTTGACCAGTGAGGAGGCAGATGAGATGGAGGAGGAGCGAGAGGTGCGCGAGGTATCAGAAACCATGGATTCGGGAGAAGACGCGGTTGAGATTGAAGTGGCGAGAGAAGAACGACGAACGGGGAAGTAACCCTGAGGAGACGAGGTGTTGGCAACAGGCCAACGATCGAGGCACTGGGTTGCACTGACGCATGAGGCCTGGGCCATGGCGAGGCCCATCGCGCTGCCCTTGCTGAGGTGGGATGCAGCACCCACGGCAGGAGTGCTGTATCCGCTCGACTGGGGCGTCAGACGCGGGGTGGGAAGTAACCCGAGAGCGGGAGCCAGCCGGCCCGGAGTGTATACGGTGGCCGGGGAAGGCTCCATGATATTCGGGGTTTGGTAGGATCTCGGGGTAGGGGTAAGGTCGGCTGAGTCGTACCCCAATCCACAAGCGCCGGTCGTAGCCAAAACATCTTGCGCCGCCGGCAGCATGGTGCGGTGACGAGGTAAGGTGCGGGAGCTGGGAGCGACGTGCGCCGTGGGAATCAAGCCTTCGATATTGTCCAGCTCGGGATTGAGTTTGAGAATAACCATCTTCCAGTTCGAGCTCTGTTGCGCATACCATTGGGCGGAGGTTCCGGGAGCGGGAGGGGACGGAGGGGTGTACTTCAAGACGATTTCTGTCCAGCGCTGGAAGACTTCGTCGGTGATGTGCAGCTTCCAGTCGACCGCCAGCAAGAATGCAATCTCGTTTTGGTTGATTTCCCCCGTGTTGAGCCCGGAAATCTTACTCCAGGCTCTGGCAGAGTAGTTACGATCTTGGAGGTACTTGGAGGCGAGGATGAGAGCGGCGAGGAACATGCGGCGGCCGCATTGAAGTGCGCGGCACTCCTGCTTGTCGTCGGGCTGTTCCATGGTGAAATCGTGCTTCGGGACGTGGGGCTTAATCAGAATCAGGTAGTACAGCGCAACCTGAAGGGTGGAATAGCTGGTGCGGGAGCGGCGCAGGGTCTCCTGAATGAAGGTGCGCAGCGGTAACACCGCCTTGTTGCCGAGTTCATTGCGACATACGACTGAGGAAAGGGGCCAGATGGCCTCGACGATCTGTGTCGAAGAATCTAGAGTGACGATTGGATTAGGAGACTGGACGGCTGCACACATGTTCAATACTGCTTACCAACAAGGTTGTCGACAAAGTTGACCTTGCGCTCAGCCTGGCGAACCAGGGTCGGGGGTGCTCCAGAGCGGGTGGCGCTCCCACTGGTTCGTCTGGGGTTTTGTCGCAGCTCCTGGGGAATGGCAGCAGCGGCTTGCTGAGTAGGTTGTCTAGGCCAGGGGCTTGTGAATCTAACAGCAGTGTCGCATGCGGCCGAGGGTCGCGACAAGCAATATACGTCGGCGGAATCGGAGTCGGAGGTGTTGGTGGGGGATGTCGAGGTAGATGATTGAGAGGATACAGCAGACCAAACCGAGCCGGACGATGTGGAGGTCAGGGATTCGAGGGAGGAGCTGTAGGTGTTGTTTTGGTAGGTGCTGATGAAAGCCGCCGAATCATCGGTGGCGTACTTCATCTTGGATATAAGTGGCGGAGGGTATTTGGCGTTTGGGGGTTTTCGATATGGGAGTGATTCCTCCAGTCGCCGTCAAGCTAAGTCAACCGGGTAAACCGTGAAAGGGTTCGTATGAGCAGATCGTGATACCGTATCAGAAACGCGCAACTTCACAACAGCTACTAGTTACTGTTGTAAAGTCTTTGAGAGTCGTAGATAGGGGTGGCGGCTTTTAGACGCAAATGTCCACAGCCGACGTTACACGAAGGATCAAACCGGAAGACGAAACAAGACGGGCGACTGGAGTAGATTTTGTAATTCGAAGAGGCATCGTATGTTTAATGCATCTAATAGGAGGGGCTAAAAGGTCCTGATTATATGGTGAGCTACTGCAGAGCCACCATTGATGCGATGCGATGAAGTGTATAATATTAGATGTATAATAGGTGAGTGATGATAGGGTGGCTAAGGGTTGAGAGGAGAGTTGGTGAGGTTGATTAAAGGAAGGCGAAGTCGGAGTCGGAAGGGTAGAGTGAGGGGAGAGGTGAGGGGAGGCAAGGCGCTGGGCCAAGTGTGGCTGCGAGGAGAGGTTATATCCAAGCAGGTGGGATGAGGTGTGACTCTTTTTCGCCTTGCGCCGCCCGTGGTATCTCGAACGAACGTGTTCAGAGGGGCGACTTGGCCTGGCGTGACGAAGTCGGAGGACCCCTTGGGTGGCTCAAGTCTGGCTCGAGGGCCCCAGATTGGGTGTGGATGACTCTTTCGGGTTTGGGGTGGCGAAGGGGGGTGAACCTGGTTGGGTTGCCGCCCAGGCAGGTGGCTCCAAGTGACCGACAGGTGTGAAGATGGAAGGGGGGGGGGGGACCACACAGGGGAGAAGGGGAAAGTGCAAAGTGCGTGAGTGCGTGCGCGCGGGAAGGAAAGAGAGTGAGTGAGAGGTGCAAAAGGTGGCAGTGGCAGTGGCAGCCTAGGGAAGGCCGAGAAGGAGACCCCGGGGGTGGACAGGGGGTGGGTAAGAGTGGTCCGGTTGAGTGCGTGATCGCTCTCGAGAACCAGGAGAGGCAAAGGGGAGAAGAGTGACAGGCAGGCCGGATAGGTAGCGTTGTCTCTCTGTTTCTCTCTCTATGACTCTCACTCACTCATGCTGCTTCTCATCCACTTTTGCGGCGTTTGACGTGTTCGTGCTAGTTGGTGCTGGGCTGGGAGGAAAATGCTGTGCAGAAAATCAAACTGGGCTTGGTACTAACCTTGCAGGCAGTGCTTCGAGTCCCTCGGCTGGAGATGTCTCTTGGCGACTACAGAGGAGTGTGGCGAAGGAGATGCTGGGTCAGCTGATGAGAAGCCAGGTTGAAAGATGAGTCGTAATCGTCGTGTGAGCTATTGTCGTGGATATTGCCAGGGCAAGTTGATTAAAAAGGAATGAGTATAATGTGTCAGAGCCGAATGAGATAGTTGCAGGGTATCGGAGAGATATTTTTTTGTTGAAAGGCAGGAAAATGAGTAACTGTGAGAGACAAGGAGCTTGCGTGAAAACGCTGGTAGGCAGGTAGGCAGCAGAGGGTCCGTTGGGTGATGATGAGAAAGGCGTATGACTCTATTGAAGCCTTAATCCGATCTCAAAATATCCCAGCGTAAGAGGGATT